TCTCTGTTTGGTCATTTATAATACCTGACAATGCCAGGCTGGTGGATGAAGTAAACATATCACAGGTTCTGGAGTCAGCCATATCTGGAGTCTAGATCCCTGGTGGCATAGTAGTTAGTTACATATTGGGCTGCTATCCCAAAGTCAGCAGTTCAAAACCACCGGCCGCTCAGTGGGAGAAAGACTGACTGCTTTCTGGTCCCGTAAAGAGTTACAGTCTTGGAAACTCACAGGGCAGGTCTACCCTGTTTTATTGGGCCTCTATTTGTTGGCACCCACTTAATGGCAGTGATTTTTTTTTAAAAAAGATCATTTCATTGGGGGCTTTTACAGCTCTTATAACAACTCATATATCAATTGATTAAAAAGGTTTTTTTAAATAACTGGGGTTGGATCCCAGCTCTGTCTGGCTCTGTGAACTTGAGTCATTTTCGTAACTTCTCTGATTCTCAGTCTCTTCACCTGTAAAATGGGTGAAAACAGGAGTTTTGTGAGACACGAAGGAGGTAGCTTCCGAATCTGATGATCACATGATCTATTGAGCAAGCTGTCATTGTGGTTATCAGAATCCAGTCGGTCCCTCACTGTGCCCAGACCCCCAACATCACTTGGACCAACACTTCCATTCCTGGGCTTCTCATTCCCTGATTTTCAGAAGTAGATCACCAGGCCTTTCTTCCTGGCCCACCGTGGTCTAGAAGTTCTGCTGAAACTCCTTAAGCATCACAGCAGCGTGCGTGCGACTGTGCATGAGGTGCTTTGGTCAGGAATCGAACCTGGCTGTCCTGCTCAGAAGGCAAGAACTCTACCACGAAACCATCACTGTACCCGTTCAATAAAGTAATGTGTGTCAAGTTTTTCCAGTAGGTCCCGGTGCATCAATAGTGCCGAGTGAGCCGTACGTACTCTGTTGCACATTGTGTCAGGTCCTGGGCTGCAGGGATGCCCTGCTCCCATAAAGACCCTCAAACTCACACTCACTGCCATCGAGACCAGTCCCACGCAGAGCGACCCTCAGGACACAGCAGAACTGCCCCGGTGCGTGTCTGAGGCTGTCCATCTTTACAGGAGTAGGAAGACTCATCTTTCTCCAGAGGAGCAGTTGGTGGGTTTGAACTGCTGACCTTCCTGGCTGGTAGCCCAAATCATAACCCACTATGTCACCAGGGCCCCTCTCCTGTCAAGACTGCAACCTAGGAGAACCAATGAGGGCAGTTTTACTTGGTCCTATAGGGTGGCTCTGCCCTATAGGGAGTCAGAAACTGGAGGCACCTATCCACACCCCTCCCCAGTCCCCCAGGCCTCTAATCCTGGAGACTGTGCTAAGGCCTGACCAGCACTGTGCCAGAGGAGGCTGGCTCAGAGAGCTGGCTGATTGGGTTGGTGGCACATTGAGAGGTTGAGTAAATGGAGCAAGCAAGTAAATGGTCCAGGTCATCCTTTGATGACCACATACAGCCTGGAGCCGTTAGGAGGTTTCCTTTCCAGGTTTCTAACTTAAACCTGGACAGCTTGTGGGGAACCCAAGTCCTTGCCTGACCTCCTGTGCTGGCATTCTGTCTGCAGAGCCCCCTC